TTCACACAGTCTGCTGCTTTACCGTCAGCGTGCAAACTAACGATTAATGCCTTTATAAAACAACGCACCTTCATTTGGAATTTTGTGTTGCACTCGCTGGAGAAGTGTCTACACTTAGCGGGCGTGTTGGTCATTGTGACCGGGTGATGAATGGCCGTACTGGGGGAGATCGACAAAAGCGAGGAGCTGGGGCTTTCAGTTTCGGGAAGGATTTGAGGGGCCAACAAACGAGAACGAAGATCTTTTACAGAAAACTCAAGCTATAAGAGGATAAACCTTAGCAAATAAATATCCATACTGTGCATTATACGTATGTAGATTTACCTCAGCGATGTAGTAGACAAAAATACGCGTAACGCGATGTTTATCACAGACAATCACTTTTACATCACCGTGATTGGGTATATACAAGAATTTTTCCCATGTCCTATCTGTACGTATAGGTTTTGACCATTTCAATGTCTTTTTCGTTGCGTTTTCTGAAACACAACAGCGCGTATAATTGTAAGTAAGTTAAAGCCAATGACTACTGCACCAAATTACCTTTGTATAACGCTAAGGTAATATTGCACGTTGTGGACTCGACGTCAGGAAAACTGGTATAAAGCTCCGGTGGCGTGTAGTAGCATTTACTGTAGGCTGGAACCTGCTGATACCATTCAAAGTGGCGCCCGTTATATTCTGGCGTAGTATTGGAAACTTTGCTATTCTCGGAGGCGCTCGTTTGTGCAATGATGAAGGGTACATCTGTTTGATTGGTCACCAAAATTGCCGGACTGTTATCTTCGAAAATATTCAAATAGTAAATGTGATCCTTCTCGATGAGTGTAACTACCAGTGGCAACGATTCCTCCCCGTTTTGTAGCGCGAAACTGCGCCGCGTAAAAGGCATACCAAGCGCAATGGGTATTGAGAGGTCAGAGGTTTCGGGCAATTTTAAGCTGACAAAACACACATAAGCTGTGTCCTTGGTGCGTTTGGTTTTTTTATTTGGCCTAAAGTCGTGGAATGAGTCTATTGTGCGCCCAATGCTGGCGAGGATAAGAAATACATACATACATAAGTATAATCATAATAATAATAATAATAGCTGCGTTTTTTTACACGCATATATCTACACTTAACGTGAAAAAAACAATCATCGACAATTTCCATTTGAAAACAAGTAATTTTGATTTTATCGACAACTATTCATGAGCGCACATCATGGTACAATAATTTCAGGTATTATCTTCCCAGAGAGCGCATATTCCGATCTGTCTTACTTAAAAAACATAATTTTTGCCCACACTAAAAAGTTCACTGTTAGGGAAAAGGGATATCTCAATACTCCATATATCATATATGTACACGTCAAGGTACATTGAACAGGTAGTATCAGTAGAGCAGCTGATTTGATTTATTTTCAAATTATTTGGTCTCGAAAATGTCAAATATTTTTAATTTTTTCTCACAAAAATTCTGAATTGTTAAAATCCATTTGCATGTGAAACCTTTTTCCATACAAAACAAGCGATTGAATAGCAGCTTTTGGAACGTTCGCCCAACTCAGCAGCACAACCGCTGATTACTGGCCCTTGTAAAGGATGGATCAATGCTTCGAGAAGCAAACAAATTTACTAGGAAAGAAAGTTGCAACAATTTTTATTTTTTCCAATTTCATTATTTTATTTTTTATAATTTTTTGTATTTCACATGGCACGCTTTGATTTAGAAGAAAAAATTCAGAACAGTTTTTGACACTTTCGATACCAGAAGCAACAACAAAATACACGCAAATGTTGTATTTGCTCTACTGATACTACCTGTTTAATGTGCCTTGGTTCCACTCATGTGGAAATCAGTTACATTAATGTGAAAATCGTAAGCTTTTTTTTATAAATATTGGCACAGATTGCGAAGGACGCTTTTACTTCATAAAAATCTTGATAAAATTTCTTTACAAAAAATTTATCAAGAAAACACAGAATTGGGCGGTAAATGTGCCGGCATTTGAACCTGGGACACACAGAATTTATAGCCGACATCTCTACCTACTCGGTTACGGCAGTCAAGAGCCTTTTTGCTTTTAAATTCATATTTTTCATATGTGACAATGAAATCAGTTCCACTCATGTGGAAATCAGATCCCCTCTTGTGGAAATCGTAGAGCTTTTTATTTTATAAATATTGACACAGAATGCGATGGGAGCTTTTACTTCATAAAAATCTTGATAAAATTTCTTTACAAATAATTTATCAAGAAAACAAAGAATTGGGCGGTTTATTTGCCTACAAGTTATTTTAAATTGAACTGAACTACAAAGTTGTGATATATGTACATATATATCGTCGTTGAAAGTACAAAACCGCGTATCAACAAAATGCAAAACCGCGTATGTGAATTATGTAAATTATCTTCTAGAGAGTAAAAACACTCATATTTCAAAATGGTTCTCTTTTTTATAAAGCAATCGCATACCTGGCCAATATATTTTAGAAGGAATGGATAAGGATTGAGCCAAGAGCTTGTGTGAGCAAATCCAATTTTTGGCTTTTAATGCTAGTTACGCGGTTTTGCAGAATGAACATACGCGGTTTTGTACTTGAAACGACGATAGGTTGTTATGAAGACTGGTGCGCAGAGAAGGGCTTGCCAATAAACGCACTGAATTCGAGTTCTGGGCAGAGTTTTGTTCTTATATAATTCTCAATGAGAACGTTCTCGTCAGTTTGGGAACAAAACTACGAGAACGACATTTAGTTTCGATCATACATTTTGTTCTGGGTCCCTGTTTTAAAATATTAATATTTAATATTCTTTAAAATATACACATGCATGTACATATGTATATGAATTTACAAAAATTAGAAGTTTGAATTTAAGTACAAAAACTAATGTTAACTAACTAACTAAATGTTAAAATTTGCTTTCCTTGTCTGCGTCTACTCAGGCTAGCGGTTAGGTGCACATAGTCGCAAGGCGAATTCATACAAGGCGGTGTGTAAAATCAGCTGATTTTTTCGTCTTACATGTATTTTGTTTTTGCTTTTACTGATTTGACAGCACACCGATCAAAAGCAAAAACAAAATACATGTAAACTTTGGAGCGAATTGAGATTTGACATAACACCCTCCATACAAAATACATATGGTTGTCGTTGTTGTAATCTAAATTCGCCAGTAACACCACCTTGTATAAATTCGCCTTGCATAGTCGCGTAAATTCTAGATATTTAAAAATAAATAAATTATTAAAAAAAATTGTTTATCCTCACCAATATATGTATATTACCCGGCTACCCGGGAAATAAAAGCCCCGGGTAATACCCGGGAAATCGGGTACTCGGGTACTCGGGCATTACTCGACTTGCCCGGGACCCGGGTATCATCAGCCCTATTCTGAACCATTCAACACACCACAAAGTAGGGCGGAACTTGATCACAGCACTTATCAAGACAAGTCCCAAGAGGAAAACCAGGGAGGCGTACAAACCCTCTGATCTAAATAAACTTCGCAAAGAATGCAGAAGAGCTTTCAATGCTGCTAAGCGAAACGCCCTAGAGTCATCTTAATAATAATAATAGATTGGCGCTTACACATATGTTAGTGTTTGGCCGAGCTTCTTCGACTTGTTGCGTGCACCTTGATGTTGTCACACAAAGCGGAGGGACCTACAGTTTTACGCCGACTCCGAACGGCGATTGTATTTTTATGAGAAGCTGTTTTTCGTGGCAGTAAAACACTCGGGGGTTTGCCATTGCCTGCCGAGGGACGACCGCTGTTAAGAAAAAACCTTTTTCCTATATTTTTTTTGCGATGTTGCTTTAACCAGGGTTTGAACCCAGGTGCAGCGGAGTGGAAGCGCGCACTGATTACCACTACACCTAGAGTCTTCTTGGGCACAATATAAATCGACAGTTAATATATACAAGAAAGCCATCAGGAAAGCAAAACGCACCTCGTGGAGTGATTTTTGTAGTGGGATAGAGACTAAATCCGAAGCCTCTAGACTCCATAAGGTACTTGCAAAATCACCTATAGCACCCCGCTATACTCAAAAGAATGATGGGTCCTGGACTGACTCAAGTTTCGAAACCGTTAAATTACTCTTAAATAACCACTTACCAGAAGGCAACGATGACACGTTATACGCACCAGAATCACCACAGCTCATCGACGAAATTATAAGCGACAGGAAAATTTGTTGTGCCATACCGAATTGCAAGCCCTATAAGACGCCAGGACCGGATGAAATATATCCGACCCAGCTACAACACACCATGGAACGAACGAGGCCATGGCTAAATACCATCTTCACCAGCTACCTAAAACTTGGCTACATTCCCGGAGTCTTGACAGAAGTCTTACCGAAAGCACGCAAAGCCTCTCCTGCTAAACCTCGCAAGTTTAGGAATATCATCCTTTCTACTTAAGACTCTGGAAAGCTCTGTTAACCAATGCGCAACATGCCTACAGCAAGGACAGATCTATGAAGACTGCCCTTCACTCGCTAGTCTCAAAAATTGAGCAATCACTAGAAGCAAAGGAATTTGCATTAGTAGTAGTCCTGGATATAGCAGGGGCTTTCAACAATGTCCTCCCGTATGTGATTACCTCGGCTCTGACGGACCTGCGGGTGGAGAAATCTTTGGTTAGGATCATCCACCAATTGCTCGTCAGCAGGGCGCTCCAAACCATGGGTAGTGACAGTGAACCAACTTCTGCTGCGCATGGACGCGGATGGATATGGGGTTGTCGCATACGCCGATGATGTTAAGGTTATCGTAGAGAAAAAATTTCCTCAATCAAATTGTTGTTGCTTTTCCATAATAGTTTTTCATTAAAAACAGGCTCAAGCTCAATAAAAATTTTTGAATATAATTGTTATAAGGCCATAAATAACAAAAACAAATAACTTAAGGACGAGCACACCTAAAAGTTAAACATTCTAAAAATAAAATTATTAACAAAAACCAACAAAACCAACAACCACGTGGTCAAGTTTAAATAGCACTAGAATAACTGCGCTTGATTGTAGTTGGCTCACATGAAAAAAGAAGAAAAAGCAACAACAGTTTATAAGGCGAACTTAGCACACTGCGTAGGCAACTGGCTGAGGCAGCTCGAGTCATCGGTTCGAATCCCGCTGAAGAAGTCTGATGAGGAAATGTGGTGATTTCTGAAATAGTATCACTTCTACCATTTTTTCAAATTGTTGTTGCTTTTCCACAAAAGTTTTTCATTAAAAACGGCCTCAAGCTCAATAAAAATTGTTGAATATAAAAATAAAATTTTGGTTTATGCTGCTGCTTTTTTTTTGTGGCTCTTTGTAATTTCATCGTCCAGCTCAAATTTAGATAAAGGTTTTGATTCGCAAATGCTCACACTTATGTACATATACAGCGGAAAAACACACGAGCCTTTAGCGAGAGAGAAAAATCTGTAGTAGTTTTGAAAAACGGCAAGTTCACGCGACAATCTTTGTTGACAGTTTTCGTTACTTCCCTTAACCCTCAGCTCTTTGCTTCATAATAAAAAAAATTTACCGCGCACTCTCGGTCAAGGTAACGTTTTTTTTTTGCAAGTTTGCGACCCTCCCAATCCCTAGCGTCACGCTTAAATCGTCAGATTATTGAAATACACAATTTTCAGCACGTAATTAACCCATCGTTTCTTAATCTGACACGCTCGATTAAAACTATGCGCGCGGCTCTACACAGATGGCTTAGATTTTGCAGAGGTTCTCTGGGGCTCCCCTACTAAAATAAAAGTTTCGATAGACAAAAATTACAACTTCTTTTGATTGTTTTAATATTTTCCCACAGGTTAATGAAATGTGGTAATTTAAAAAGAGGTTACTATTGAAATAGAGATAATTAGGGCATATTTAAATTTATGTCGTTTTCCTCTTTTCAATGGAATGACCCTTTTGTTATTTTCTGGCCATACATATTTTGAAATATTTTTATCGTTGTTTTTCCACAATAATTTTCAATAAGAACGTCTTATATTACGTTCAAATTGGCCCCATTTAACTTGTTAAATGAAAAAGAGCCTTTTGGAAAACACAATCGTCCACATTGAACATTTGGAGTTAACTTTGGCGGTTGTTTGATTACTAATAAAAATTCGAAAAAAGATATTCAAAATCAAGTGGTTGTGTAAAAAATAAACGTTGGGTTAAAACTCTTATCGGCAACGGAAAAAATATTTCTCCTGCATAACAGTTATGAGGCAACGTAAAAAATAAACGTTGGGTTATAACTCTTATCGACGAAATAAAAAATATTTCTCATCTAATAACTGTTATTGAGCAACGTTTTTGCTATAAAACTTATAACAGTTATGTCCCTGAAAATAACTTATTAGCGCCTTGGCCTCTTTTTGGCGGGCAGACATGCATACAATTTTGATATTTTTTGAGAATTTTTAATGTGTAATATTTTTCAGAATATACATTTTTTGAACGTTGGCGTGTCAAAAGAAAGCTTTTGGGTCTTTCTGATTGGCCTGATCAGAAAGCTTTTTGATACAACTCTGCACTGAACTGGTTTTCAAACGAGTTAAATGACTTAACTGGTTCAATTTTCCAACAACAATTGCATGCAATTTAACTTGTTTATGAACATGTTTTGTTCATTTAACTGGTTCAAGCCCCTTTAACATGTTCAGCTCGTCAATTTGAACGTAGTATTAAGCTCAATATACATCCCTATTCTGCATTTCGATTACGATCACGCATTCCGCTCCGCAATAATCGAAATTAGGTATTCTGCGTTACGATCGAATCGAAAGAGAAAGAGGAAGAGAGAAAACATCTTTCGAAAGCTGTTTGCCTAGGAATGGTTTGTTTCTTTTCTTTTCCAGCAGATAATTATCAGGAAGAAGAAGAATAAGAAAATTTAAAGAATTACGCTCACAAAGAGTAAAATAACGAAAAAGTAAAGAAACGCAAAACTAGCAAGTAATTAGTTGATCGGTGTATTTGACTATTGGAAATAGCGAATTTTTGTTTATCCATTTTGACAGCTGCTAGTTTCTGCTAGTAAAAATTTTACTAGCAGAAAGTAGCAGGAGAGCCAAAAAAGAAGAGCGTAGGAACGAGAGAGAGCTGCTAGTTTCTGCTGGTTTTTTGGGTTAAGAAACGCTTTCCAGCAGAAATTAGTGATAATTTGTGAGAATTGGGAGTGTTCGCTATGCAAAAAATGTATACAAGTTGGTACCAATTGTTACCAAATCGTGTTCGTTTAGCCAAAAACCCAGTAAAACTTCTTCGTGCTGGGAAGATTTTTGCCAGTAAGAATTTGCAAGCAGGATTGTGGTACGCGGTTACATTTTTGTCAACATTAATTTGAATCAACGAGTTCGTTAAATTTAAAAATGAACAAATTGTTGCGATTTACTAACGAAAGAAGTATGTAAATATTCGTTTATTCAATTAATTTAATTAATTCCAGACATTTGAAAGGTACTCGGCTGAAAAAGCTGTATCCGTAATCGGAACGCACTCGACACCACTATCGATATAGGAAATCCGACAGTGACTTACACAAAGAAATTGAAGCTTATGTTGAAGAAAGTCAGAATAAGAAGGGATATACGTATAGGCCCTGTTTTGTTTTCCGACTGAAATAATGTAAAAAATTTATTATGTTCGAAATGCAACCGTAGACGCCAGCTGGCAGTGAAGCTTGCTAATGTTTGCTAATTCCCGTTCGCGCAAAACTTAGTAAGTTTCTCTCTTTGGGAGAGCAAAGTACCTTGTTCTCTGAATTTTGTTGCAGGCAAATTCTTACTGGCAGTTGCATAGCGAACGCTCCTTATCTGTTAAGAAACAAAGCTAATGTGTGAAATCGAAACAAAAAAAAAGAAATATTGGCCACCAAACTATAGGTTCGTTCGCGTAGCTGTTAATTGTTCATGTTTAACCAAAACTTACAAGTTTTTGCGTTCGCGTACGCAAAAAACTTGCAAAGTAGGGGAAATTGAGAGAGCAAACTGACATTTCATTTTGAGGGGAAGCTGCTGGTTTCTGCTGGAAAATTTTTTGCTAACAGCAATTTGCCAACAGGAAAACAGCTGATCAAAAACAGCTGGTT